GGGCCCCTCAGTTTTAACCCTCGAGAGCCCTCGTGGGGCGAACATCCCAACCACGAGGGAGGAGGAGGAGGGAGGGGGAGGGGGAGAAGGAGGAGGAAGAATGATGAGGGGGAGGAGGAGGAGGAGAGTGCCTGATCAATTCAGTTCGTCCTTTCGATTGCGCTCGTGGCGCCTCCTGTCAAGCCAGAGGTAGAGAATTTCTTGTAAAAAACAGGTTTTTCAGGTCAGAGGCTGAGAAACCATTGCAAAACACAGGTTTTTCAGGTTTTTCCGGTTTTGGGGGATTTATGCGCGCCCAGGTGGGAAGATGCGCAAAAACCTGAAAAACATGAAAAACTTGTTTTTTTACAGTGTTTGCCAACCCTCCGGCCTGAAAAACCTGTTTTTTACAGGTTTTGTCAGGTCAGAGGCAGAGAAACCACAGCAAAACATATGTTTTTCAGGTTTTTGGGGGATCTATGCGCTGCCAGGTGGATGGATGCGCAAAAACATAAAAAACCTGAGAAACCTATGTTTTACAGTGTTTGCTGACCCTCCGACCTGGAACACTTGTTTTTTACAGTGTTTGCTAACCCTCCGACCGAATGACAGAGCCCCCCAGCGGATGCGGCACGAGCAAGCTTCGACCATCCGTAACCGCTTTGGCTCAAGGTTTGATTGGTTCCGCGCTCCGTGCTTCGCGACACCATGAGGAACCCAAAGAAGGGGACACCCGCTTACGAGAAGAAGCTGCACAGCAACAAGGTACGCAGGGCCGCGAAGAGAGATCACGACCTCGGCAACAAACCAGCTGTGGCCAAGCTGGTGAGGGGGGCGCGCGCCGCAGCTCGCAAACCCTCGGTGGACAAGTTGCGCGACCTTGAGAGCGTCCTGGACGCGCGGTCACGCCGCTCCAACCAGCACTACAGGAATATGTACACCGCCCAACACAAAGCCGCAGCGGCAGAGGCGGTTGCCAACCACTGCAAGGAGCAGCTCAAGCAGAAGACGACCGCCCTCAAGGACGCGCGGGCGGAGCTGCGCGAGACGCAGGCTTCCTTGGAGAAGACGGAGGGAAAGCTTCAGAAGGCCAAGAAGGCGACCGAGAAGGCCGAGAAGGCGCTCGAGGAGGCCACAGCTCCTTGGGAGAGCTGGTGGCGGACTCTCCAGGTGCACATGAAGTACCACTTGCCTCCTTGGGCGGCCAAGAAAGTGGTGCGCTTGGCGCGCCGCGGCCCGCCCCGCGGCCACGCCAACGACTTGGGCTGACGTGCGCCGCGCGCGGCCTCGACTAGCAGCCCCGCCCTGGCCTTTGGAGCGACAGCCAAAAAACACACACCCGCAGAAGGAGAGAGAGAGAGAGAGAGAGGGAGAGAGAGAGAGAGAGAGAGAGAGAGAGAGAGAGAGAGAGAGAGAGAGAGAGAGAGAGAGGCAGACACAGAGACAAAGACAGAGACAGAGAAAGAGACAGGGACGGCGACAGCGACAGAGAGAGAGAGAGAGAGAGAGAGAGAGCCCGCTGATTGGGGGGATCCAGATTTTGGATGCCCCAGTCCGTTATCTTTTCCCATTGCTGTAGCCCGCAGCTTTGCGTTGGCTCAAGACCACAGGTGCGCCTCGCAGTCGACGTTGCATCGCGTCTCGTTGCGATCATGGCGAACCTCGTGGCGGGGGGCGTCAAGTCTCTGGGAGAGATGATCGCGGGGGACGAGTCCGCCACCGAGCAGGTCGCGCAGGCCTGGGGCTGCATGGACATTCTGAACCCGTACAGTCGGCTCGAGAAGCCCACGCGCTTCGAATCAGACCCGCCTGGTTGCTATCGTCTCCGAGACATGCCACTGAGAGACATCGACAACGTGGTAAAAGTGAAGCGCGTCGTGGATTGGATCAAGATTGGAACGGAGTGCCAGGAGCTTCCCGACACAAGTGCTGTGGACATGGTCGACATCATGCGCCGCGGCGACTACGCGTCCTTGCCGTCTCCGTTCAAGCCGAAGAAGGACACGGGAGAGTTGGCGTTCACAATGCAGATCTACGTTCTGCCCACCGACCCTGATGGGGTGCAGTCTGTGCTGAAGTATATCAAGTTCGACGACAGTATTCGCGTGGACTTGGTGAAAGATGTGTTCATCGTGGGCACGCCGCTGACGATCCACTGGGGCCGCACTTCTGACACGAAGAAGGTTCGCAAGTTGTTCCACTTCATGATGGACCGCCTTGGGGGCGTGCAGTACCGATACTTCGTGCAGCCGTCCGTGAAGAAGGCAGCTGAAGCGGGCACTTACGACAGGATTGCTCGAACGGCTGGTTACGCCTTCATTCGCGATCATGGACCACGGAGCAATGCCCAGAACCAATTCGTCGAGTGGACGGATGATCAGATCCACCTCGAGAGCAGTCCGATCTTCGGGTGGACGCCTGGGGATGTCAAGGACCAGGCGGCTAAACGGACGCGCGGCGTAGAGCGCGTCCCCTTCGCGCTGGGCGCAGACCTGATCGTCGCGCCAGCTTGAGGGGAGGTGCTCGGGCGCGCGTCCGTTTGGCAGCCTCGCAGGAGAGCTTGCGGAACTACGCCAACGGCACCGTGGGCGCGCGGACGTTGATGTCGTGGT